TCTCATCATATCTTTAAAAGGAGGAGTACCTAATAAAACCATTCGGAGACTAGTCCGACCCAAGCCAGTGCTGGGAATGTTGTCGTGGAAAGAGAGCGACCTTCCTCAAATTATGAAAACTATTATTACTGGTGAATTTGATTAATAATGATAATAATAATACCGATACTTTAAATGTTCTATTATATAGATCCTGACCATTTCCTTAGTGAAGGTAATTGCATTGAAGGCCATATACTGTTTATGTCCTTGAGATATGCTGATCACTGCTCATCTGATACAATGACAACTCAACTTATTGAAAGTACAGTGTCATCACTTCAATACTTGACTAAGGTATTCCAGACTGTCACTATACTTATTGTATTTTATTAATGTTCTTTCATAGCATTACAAAGATAACTTAAATCTATTGTGTCATTGGTTGGGTAATATCACTTGCCTACTTCAGTCCATGAGACAGTACAGTGGTGATCCTGTGAGTTATCCCTCCATTAATTGAATCATTTTTGCTGCCGCTACAGGTTTATTACAATCCTTGTAAGGATGTTACCGGTCTGACTAGTTTTGAATTGTCGGACTATCATGACTTCATTACAGCTGAGGCTATGTCAATCTACTACCTCATAATAAATCACTTGGAGAGAACACTAGAGCCACTTATAGGTTGATAAAGGAATCATTGATATTTATAATAATACATATTTGTAGTTCCTGGTTTATTGGAGCATGAGTCAATCCTATGTCTTACTAGCGCTAGGCCAGTTGGTTGGGGTAGGACATTGCTTGGTATTGTAAAGCCAGTGATAGTGACAGTCAGTGATATAGAGAGGTTTCTTAATGACTTGCTGAATCAATTGGAGTTTTGTCTTGTTGATACGTACCTTATTGAACAAATGTTTAAGCAAGTCAGTGGCAAGATAATGATATTATTAAAATGGAGATGTTTTTGTTATTTTTTTAGATTTTTTATTTCATCAATGGAGTCATGCTCAATTATCTTCTTTTTAGAAAAGACTTGTGTCATTGGACGTCAGGAATGCAAATAAGGTTACATCATGCATTGTCACTTGATTATCAAACATACATATATAGGTACAATCTTAATGTCCTTGAGGAATGGCTAAGAGAACACAAACTCACTTGTGTAGTGGATACTCTTCAGCCGATTGTCCAGGCATCCAAACTATTGCAGATGAAGAAAGAGACTCAAGATGATGCTAGATGTATTAGCGAATTTTGTGCAAATTTAAACACGCAACAGGTCTCCAAGTCTTACCAATATTACTACTGAGCAGTTGTTTTTAATTTTTCTTGTTTAGATTCAGAAAATCCTGCGCATGTACACTCCAAGTATTGAGTCTGAGAGTCGTGTGCCGCTATCTGTGATACAGTTTGTTGGTCAGTGTCATCGTCAGGATCATCGTTTTGGGTCTGAGACTGAAAACCTCATGATTGATTCCCGGTATCAGTTTCCAGTCTCGATCCCTTACTCTCCTACTCTTTTTAATTTTGCTGCAATTGATGTTCCAAAACAATTGGATTTTTTGATTAAAATTTAAAATCATCTAATTATTATTATTAATATCTTTTTACAGTTTACTAAAATAACAAAAGAAAGGCAGGGATTAAAATCTATTATTAAATTATTTTGTCGTTTGCATGGCGCAAAGTCTACTTTAGTTTGCACGGTCTGGTTCAAGTCATGTTTAATTTCAAAGCAGGTGATGCCACTTTTCTATCTACATCGTGTTCATTTCTTTCTTTCTATAGGGAAGATTCCAATCTACTCAAAAGGACTTCGCGTAGAAGCACTCTTGGTTTACTTTCTTTTCATTTTGTTGGTCCCAGTTTCTGTTAATGGCCACACAGCTGGTGACTTTACCATTGTCATAGTGTCCAACAGCGGCTCAGATCTAGAC